GTGGAAAGTTGCTGCAATGTGTGCAGCTACCCACATACAACCTCCAGGCACGGGAATTACTTCTCTAGCGTGTCTGAGCCCGACCTTTGCCTTTAAGTAACGACACGTTACCTTGTAGGCATAAATAAAACATCCCAAATCTTTCTTTGAAGTGAGGCTAGGTGTGAGATCACATGACCACATGTGAAGAAATCAGATTTTAGTTAATCTATAGCAATATATTGATAATTATACACAGCTAGTGTAGAGACAGAATGACAGAGCGCTCCAGGTGGATGTGGTCAAGAGGTCCCAATTGCGCTGCAGCATAGGCATTCACGTCGCACGCGATGAGCAATTCTTGATCCTTGCTGCATTGGGGATCTACCGACTCACATGTATAGGCTGATCAATGCCGCTGTGGGATACGGCTTGAGGCTCTCCAACATTTGCGGAATGCTTACCGGAGCTGTCACGGCCATGTGGGCAATTTTACACCATACGCACGATGCTTACTCACAAGAGAAGAAAACGCGAATTTTGTCGCTTCTCGTTGGTAAAAGTTGATTTCTATTCAATTTCCTATATGGAAAATAGCACCATTAGATTCAGCCCTTCGAGTTCTGTAAGTTCCGCAATCTTATTCTTCAAGGACAAAGCGCCAAAGTCGACTCATTTGCGAGTATCGCTTGCTATAATTACAACATGATACGCAGCGTGGATAGGGCGTAGCGGCTAATTCAAGCACACGCGGGTTAGATAGGCAGCGATGGCCTTCGAAAATCGTGGAGCATGCAAGTTCGGAAAACTCGTCCGACTCCGCCCTTCCTTACTTCAAGGCGAAAGGAAGGCAATACTTGTTAACGACTTCATTGGTGATTGCTTTAGTTTTTCAATTTTCCGCAGTTCGGCATTCGCAACTTCATTATAAAACACATTCACGAAACCATCCGATCTGGGGTTGTTGCTTCGATTTTCCCTTCGAAAAAGAACCTGACCTTAGGTGGCTTAGACCATTATGTAAATACATTGACCCAGTCCGCAGGATATGCACCAGTCGTAGCATCTGAAACATTCGAGGTGATTAATATATAAAAGTAATAAATAGTAAAATCGACAGAACAGTTACTGATAGGTAAACGTGACCGGATAACATTAAGCGTAATGGAAGAAGTTCATAGTGTTGATTATGACTACATGCTCAAAAGAGGGCCTAGCAACACTTGATTACTTGTTTACTTATGTATCATTTGTTTACTTATTTGAAGCAGCGTAGGTGCGTAGTGTAAAATAATTAGTAACAAGTAAAAATAAACGATAAGCGAAAATCCAGATAATCCAATCAGTGCAATGCGTGAATCTAAATCAATACTGTTGCAAAAATTACCGTAATCACTCGTCCCCTTTTTCCATGATAGAAAATTTCCTAGAAAGTTAGGTCTGAAAATGAAGAAGGCACCTGTAAAAGTGTTGATCGATCCAGTCTGGAAGATCTGCATGCTCCTCTTCGGAAAGACTTTGATACATTGCGATGACACTTCCTTCGCTGACATATCCTCCTCACTAAAAACAACTTACATTTTGCCCAGCTATTTATGTCGATAAAGCATGTTTCCATTTTCTTCGTATTCTCTATACTGAGCAGTAAGGAAATGGGGATGGGGGTTGCTACGGTCGCTCATGGCTCGAGGACCAAACCCATGGTCTAATCTCGGAAGAGCGAAGCCTTTCATGTCCACAATAGTCCTGGTACCTTAAACCTTTGAATGGAGCAATACAATATTCCTCCAACTTGCCAGCGAATTGACCACCAAGTCCGTGAAGAACTCGATACATGCAAACATTCTAGACTCACCTCAGCAAACAAAAAGCCCTTAGTCAGTTTATTATGTTGAAGTGTAGGCTTTAGAGGCGAGTTCTTAGGTATTCTACTAAGTATCAGCAGCCGTTTCAGTTCATTTCATGTTGGCCGCGAAAATATTCAAAGGAGCCACGACCCAAGTGGTAATCGTGCTTGGCGCATGCCGAAGCAATTGGTTTATGCCATTGTTTGTGTATCTCCAAACATTACTGAGCCCATATGTAGCTGAACTTGATCTAATACTAATAATGACCTTATGAAAATCATTCCCATCCTGGATACGGTAGCCGGCGAGGCGAACTGGAGCGAATCGGTCTCGAACAGAAAATTCACATTGCTGCCAAATTGTATTCGCTCACCAGATGGCATTGTTAGCTGAAAGATCGAGAGATTATATTGAAAAGCTTTTTATACCCTTAGCCACTGCTGGCATTAGTAAAACTCAATATTTTTACCGGCAAAAAAAAGGAAAACTCGCGCATACCGCATACACTGCCCGACAGTAGGCCATTCGCGCGGCAAGAACGCAGACGTGTCGACGGACGAATCGCAGCGCGCATTGTGCGACGTAGGAAGTACTATGGTACATTCTATTTACCTTGACGCTATATCGCTACAGTACATGCTGTGACTCGTTCGCTGATCACTCTCACGTTGTCTGCCTTCTCGCGCAACGAATTCCTGTCAAGTTACCCAAATAAAATTTGAGCAACACCGTCAACGAAAAATTAGTGCAAAGAATCAAATTGGTAGCAACACGTGCGCTTGGATAAATAAGGCCATGGTTCTAGCCGTAGAAGAATTTCACGTGTCCTCACTACAGCATACTGCGGACTGGAGCAAGGTCTGGAATAGATCTACAAACGTTCGCCAGTGCCGTACAGTTGGTATCACATCCAGACCGTAGCCGAAACCAAGGCCCTTTGTAACAGAACTCGATCAAAGTGTCATCAAAAATGAAGGAAAAATAAAGTACAGAAAACTGACAACATCAAAAAATCAATGAAAAATTGGAGTGGCGAAAGTTCTAGCAAATGTTTGTAAATTAAATTCGATAATTTTACCAGTCGATTGTCGTCAAGCACCGAATTCAGCGCCTCTATCCATTCTGGATCGATGTCGCCATCAAAAATGATCCACGTATGAACACTTGTGTCTTTGATTACCTAAAAATATTAGTTTTTGAAATATGTTCTTGTAGAAACTGGATGTTCTCCAGAAATTCGAACTTTTCTCCTTCCTCCTTGAAAGGTTCCTCAGCTCAAAGGCGGAGTTTGCGATGAAAAGACCACTGCTAGGAATCAAGGGAAAAGGTGATTTCTTTTATTTACCTAAACAATTACCTAGAAAAAGTTTAAAGAGAAAAAATGATGCAGGGATGAAGAAAAACCAAGAAAACGGTCGAGGACCAGAGAAATTGAACCCTTTTTGCCTGTTGATTTGTGCGTGAGGCGTGTGTGACTGCTGCTGACCTCATCAACGCTAACGCTCTCTCTCTAGTGTGGTATAGTAGACGGCGGGTAGCAGCGCGGGTATGGGGATGCTGGACGCTGGATGCATACCCTTAGCTGCTGAGCCTTTCCACTAAGTATATTTCCCCTTTTTTCACCTTCGACGTTATCGAGGAACCCTCCTTTCACATATATTTGCTCTAATCAGATAATTATTACTTAAAACAACTACATAGTGAAGCTTACTTCTCTGGCCGCCATAGTGAGAATTCCATCCGACCATTCGCGAGTATCAATATCCATATGACCAAGAAGCTGAATAAGAAAAAATATTAGTTTCGAAAATTCAACATCTCAAGGCTTGCCCAAAATGGACAGATCAAAAAGTTCAAGAGAAAAGCTATGTAAAAACATAGCGAAGAGGATTACCTTTGTTCTGTTCATTGCCTTTGGATTGAAGGATACGGTATGCAAGGCGACCCCGGCCAAAAGCTGAGCTCGTCGTAGAACTCGCCAAATCGTCGATTTACCAGAACCTGTCGGGCCCACCACAACAACGCCGATTCGTTGACGGAGTTGCTCGTGTAGTTGAAACACTTTTTGGAGCTGAAAGAAGAACACATTCATAAGGAACCAACTCCATTTGACAACTTACAGATCAATATTGTCAATATTTAAAGAATAATTTCGACTAAGGCGAGAAAAATTTGCTAAACTATTCAAGGAGAAATCCCGTAATGATTAGGAGGTGGATCACTTCCTTCTGTGAGCAGATTTGCTACCAACAAAGGCAGAGGGTGGCCATTTCGCAATTTCAGAACGCGCATTAAAACTATAAGAATTGTTCGCTTCCACTGCTGATCGCTAATCCCACTGCTCGCAGAGCACGGTCTATGTAGTGGATCGCCTGCGTCTCTCTCGTCTCTTATGCTCTCTCGTTTCGTTCGTATGTTTTCTCGCCCAATGTTTCGTTCCTTATGGCATATATTCGCTCCTTTCTAGCGCCCTGTCTTATTAGATGTGCTCAGTCTCAGTTGAAGGTGGCGATTTATGATTTCTGCTGCTCGAACGCTTTTTTTTCATTTCATTCTTCATCGAAACCCGCTTCGCAGCTCAACTCTCATTTTCCAGCGAAATGAGCACGACTAGGGATAGCAAAATATGTCTTCAAAATCGTGATGCATTATTAGATTTGAATAAATCGTACCTGTTTCGATGTAAGTTCAATATTCATCTCTTCAGATGCCTGTTTGAGTGGCTCCACCAGGTCGCCGAACTGAAATGGCTTTCCTTTCAAGTTCACATTGCAAAAGGAATCAGAAAAGCTGCCGGTGACATCTGTAGATCGAGCTCCTTCATAGAATATAGAATAACGGCATCAATGGGGTGTTAATGCCGTAAATTTACCCTTTACCGGGGTAACTATCACAGTCGGGCAGCAGAGCATTCACAACTGGTGTAGTGGCAAGTGGCACTTCTTACGTGATTTGGGTGAGAAATTAGCTTGAATCCTTTCCAAGCCCATCGTAAAGTACTGTGCTTTTCGAACAGCCTTCAATGGCACTATACTCATCAAAAGGTTAAAAATCACCCTTACCAATTACCAATCGGTTCCCATAAAGGAGCTTGCTTATCTGAGCCCCCTGGCGAGAACTGAACTCGTTTGAGGCAAAGTGTTACGCCCATAATCCAGCTGCATTGTGGTAACCCTCACCTTCACTAAATGCGTTAAATTACATTTGAAGGTGATACTATGGCTTCTGCATGCAATAATGCGTAGTGAAGTCAAAGAAGTGATTGAGCAGAAGAAGCAGAAGTGATCGGATCTTGTGCGACTTCGCCAAGTCAGCATTGTCCATTGCACTACTTGACTGGCGTTAGTTGACCTATGGACCATATCAGGGGAAGTTTGAAACGTATTATTAGACCGCCGTCACAGTCGGCGGTCCTAGGGATAATTTAGCGAATTTTGGTAGCAATAAGCCTCAAAAAGAGTATATTCCTACCGTAGTCATCGTTTTGTTCACCGAAGAAAACACATCATCGATCAAAACGTTGAATCGTTTGGAATCTGCGAAGGTTAATTTGGAGAGTGTGTTGAGAAGGAGAGCCTGGAAATAATCGAGTCTAACAATGAATTTGAAAGATCGCCTGGCAAGAAGAACTAGTAAATATTCAAAATCGAGCCCTTTCGCTTGATTCCATCTCACCCCACCTGTACAACTGTCTCTGTTTCGTCAGCTTCTGGTTTTGCTGCTCGAAGGTCACCACACCCACGTAAAACTACCTGAAAAGGGAATGAATGCAAAGCCATGTAGCTTGAGCTTATCTCTGTTAACTAGTGCCATATGTCGAGCATTTGAAAGTTACGTGGGCACCAAGGATCTTAATATGAGTCACATTAAGCATTGGATAAGACATCATTTTGCCCCAAACGCACCAACTCTCTCTCTGATGGTAGCATTCTCTCTGTCTACGTCTCACTCGCCTTTATTTTCTCTCGGCCTCTATGGACACAATCTGTGGTCCCAACACACAGACTCCGTCATGGACTTCCATAACCATCATGGATGAGCAATGGAGCTTCCATTAACGCATCGACCGCTCTTTTGGTGCTTTTTATATTGAAGGATCGTATGGCAACTACTGCGGAGTGAGTCCTTAAGTCCACCATGCGCAAAAATAGTTTCGAAAGGAAACGGAGCATTCGACAAATTGGATAGCATCGAGTGAATGACCTTTTTGTCACGTGTTTGAAATACCATCTTAATGGTAGCATACATAGAAGGTCGTGCTAGACAGCTGCCGCGGAAAAGACCCCCAGGAAGTAGGGCTAGATGTTTGACTATTTCCTTAGGCAATATGAGTATCCCACGGGGGTACTGAACACCGGAGAATAGCTAAGTCATT